ATTGAGCTGATTTCCATCTGTGCTTGACTTGGATTCAGATTAAGCAGACATGGTTTCACAGCAGGTTGTAAGTGTGCGTGTGACATTGCATAGGTGCCACAGCTATTTGGAAAACAAAATTTTGTCTTAAGGCCGACCCCGTGGCGCACTCAGGAGAGTGCAGCGCTGGGAGTGCAGCGCCGCTCCCGCCGCGGGTTCTGATCCTATATAGGACTGGCCGGTGCGCTCACTGGCTGAGCACGGTGCGGGCGACACCAAGCCAAGGGTTGTGATCCCCTTACCGGTCACGAACAAGATAAACAAACAAAAAAAATTTTGTCTTAAGTTCCTTAGTCTGATTTTCTTACACTCACAACAAATGATTCTATGCAGTTGGTGATGTGACCAGGCCCCGGAGGGGAAAGTGAGAGACCACACATCTTGAGACGTTTTGTTCAACATGTGCATGCCAAGTTAGCATTATCTAAACACTTGCTGCAAAATTAGCATTACCTAAATATATCACAAGGTGCTTCTTTGTGGATGTTTTGAAAAATGAATTCAGGTTTCCTTCTTTTGTGAGGATAAAAAAAATATTTTGCTTTTTGGGATTTCAATTTAATCTATTTTAGGTATGTGCAGCCTAATTCTTAAAAATACCACGTGGTCTTTTGGTTTTAGGAAGAGCGTTCAGCCTGGTGGAGGCAGCGCATGTGGCTGATTTCTTTGCACTCTGAGAGTTTCTTTCAGACTCTGAATCAGAGTTTTGGGGTGAAATGCAGTTACTCCTTCCCTGCCCTCTTCCCTGTGTCTTCACGTCCTGCCCTTGGGTACCCACCCTCGTGGAGGTGGCACTGGGCCGACTTGGCTGGGCCCAGGATTCATACTCGTTCAAGTGAGTACATATGGGATTTCAGATAAATCCCAACCCTGTAGAGTTGAAATGAAACCAGCCTAGGGAGGGGCATCCCTGGTGTTCACCCCCAGAAGTGCCAGTGGGTGAAAACGTCCTGCTCCGGATACCCCGAGCAGGACCAGTTCTGTGCAGAGACAGTCAGCTCAGGTTCTCCAGCCTGAGTCTTGCTCATCTTTGTCCTGATCCCGGGTTCTCCGTGGCCCTCTCTTGTCTCCGTGTCTGTGTCTCGTGTAGACATCTCCTTGGTGTCATGGCTCAGGGTAGTGGCAGTTGAGCGCGGACTCTGGAGCCACACTGTCTGGGACCGAATTCCAGCTCTGGCCCTGCACCTGAGACGTGGGACAAGTTCCCTAACCATGTCATGCCCCAGATTCCATTTCTGTGAGCTGGGGATGGTCAGAAGGGCTAAATAAATATGAAGCGCTTAGGACAGTGCCTGGCACGTGGTGGGAGCTCTGTGCATGCCGACGGTCATTACCATCGTCATTTGTATCCTTACCACTGCTCACAAGGCCTTTGTGGCCTTGCGGTCTCACTGCTGTGTGCCTTTGACAGGGCTGGTGTGTGTTCACCGTGAAGATGTGGCCTCTCTCTGGTGCATCATGGTGCATTTACACGCACATCGGATTTAGGGGACTGGGTTTCTTTTCACTGTGAGGAGTTGTAGGTGTCACCTGGCACATTTCCCCTGGACCCAGCGGTGGGCAAATGTCAGTAAACTTGAACGAGAAAGATTGATGAAAAAAGCATCATGAGAAGCAAAAACCCAAAAAACCTCTGAAACCGAAGGAAAGGGCAGTTCTGTGTATTGAGAGGCTGGGAATCATTTCAGTCAAATTGAACAAAAAAGAGAGATGGCCCCAGAGAGTTCACAAAGAACCCCAGAGGAAAGGCCTTATGACATCAGCATGACTTTGGATAAAACGTGAATATTTCACTATGAGACGAAGAACCCTCACCTGCGTAAGACAACACCATCGGATGTTTGCACGAAATGTGTTTTCTTGGTATTTCTTCTTACTATAACTACGTCTTCCCTGGCTTACTCTAATGACTGGCATCGTTATGGACGAAGAACCCTCACCTGCGTAAGACAACACCATCGGATGTTTGCACAAAATGTGTTTTCTCGGTATTTCTTCTTACTATAACTACGTCTTCCCTGGCTTACTCTAATGACTGGCATCGTTATGTGACATATTTATGATGCACTTCTCTAAGAGAATAAGAAATGGTTGAGTTCCCTAATCCTCTGAGAATTCCTACTTCCAGGGTTTGGTCTCAGGGAAAGTCCTAAAGAACAGAATAGAGTGGTGGAGAGGTCCTCGCGTGGCACCTGCTATTTCAGGGGCCTGGTGTCACCGTGTGTCCTCAGCATCTTTCCCACCAGCAGAGCATCAGAACGGACGGTGAACATAACACACTTATTTTTCCAAAGAGGTGATACAAGCTGAAAATATCAGTAACCTTCCTGCCCCCCATTCACCCCGTCCTACCAATTACCCTACAAAGCAAAGCACCAAGATAGTGCTGCTGACTGAAGATAGTAATGCCAACTTGCTGATGGGTTAGGAGAGGAAGAGACACTAAACCAAAAGCTCCATAAAGGCAGAGATCTTGTGACCCGCACCTCACGCAGTGATGCCAGCGGTTAACATCCACTGAGCACTTACGTCGTAGGTACCATCTTAAGATCTTTCCATGGGTCAGTCCTTTAAATTCTCAAAACAGCCTCATCCAGTGGATGCTGTTGGGACCCCCCCAAACGAGGTGCAGAGAGGTCGTGAATCTCGACCTAAGGTGGTGGCCGCGGAGTGATGGAGCTGGATTCACACCCGTGTCCAGAACGTGGGCTCTTCACCGCCCCGCTCTTCCATCCTCTTAAGATGGCAAATGTTCAGTAAGTGTTGAAACAAAAGAGAAGACAAGAACACATCCAGAGAGGGAGGAAAGTGGGACCTGCAGCTGAGAGATTGGTGCCGGCCCTGGGAGCGTGGCAGGGAAGTTGCACAGTTGAAATAAACTGAGCTCTAGAGATCCAGAACCTGAAGCTTTTCCTGCTTTCATTTAAATGAAAGTTGCTGACCCATTTCTCTCTAATTTTACTTCAAGACTCTTCTCATAGAGTGAACACCTTATTCAAGATTGTCAGACAGATACAAACACATGGATATGCATGTATATGCATCTATGTGCACAGACACATAAACACTCCTGCATGTGTATATTTTAAAATTTGGAAAATATTGCAAAACGCAGAAGAGATCAAACATCAACCATAATGTCTCCAGCCAACTGGTTTTCAACAGAGGTACCAAAAATATACACTGGGGAAAGGACAGTCTCTTCAATAAATGGTGCTGGGAAAACTGGATATCCACCTGTAGAAGAATGAAACTAGGTCACTCTCTCTCACCATACACAAAAATCAACTCAAAATGGATTAAAGACCTAAATTTAGGGCCCGAAACTATGAAGCTAGTAGAAAAAACGGGGTATGCTATAGGAAATGGGAGTCTGCAGTACTTCGTTGAGTGAGACTGCAAAGGCACAGGCAATTAAAGCAAAAACACACAAATGGGACTGCATCAAACTGAAAAGCTTCTGCACAGCAAGCGACATTGTCAACAAAGTGAAGAGACAACCTACAGAGTGGGAGAAAGTGTTTGCAAACTACACATCAAACAAAGGGCTAATAGCCAGAATATGTAAGGAACTCAAATAACTCAACAGCAAAAAACCAAATAACCCAATTAAAAAATGGGCAAAGGACCTAAGCAGACATTTCTCAAGAGATGTACAAATGTCCAACAAGCATGTGAAAAAATGCTCGAAATCACTAATCATCAGGGAAGTGCAAATTAAAACCACAATGAGAAATCATCTCGCCCCAGTTAGACTGACTGTTATCAAAAAGAATAACAAATGCTGGCGAGGATGTGGAGAAAAGGGAACCCTCCTATATTGCTAGTTGGAAGTGAGTTGGTACAGCCATTGTGGAACACAGTATGGAGGTTTCCTCATACGACTAAAAATAGATCTACCTTACAACCCAGCTATCCTGCTACTGGGTATATGCCCAAAGGGGATGAAATCAGTACGTCAAAAAGACACCAGCGCTCTCACGTAGATCTCAACACTATCACAAACCCAGGAAATGGTATTGACCGAAATGCCCACACATATGAATGGGTAAAAAAAGCTGTGGCATATATACACGATGGAATACTACTCAGCTATAAAAAGAAATGATACCCTATCATTTGCAGCAACATGCATGGAACTGGAAACCATCCTGTTAAGTGAAGTAAGTCAGGCACAGAAAGACAAATACCACATGAGCTCACTTATATGTGGAATCTAAAAAAGAAAGAAAAAAAAGTGGTTCTCATAAAAGTAGAACAATAGGTATCAGAGTAGGGTGGGGGGAAGAGAGGAGATGGACTGACAGGTACAAAACTATGCTGTCTCCCTAAGTGAATCACTGTGCAGTATATGCCTGTATTGAGACAACACACTGTACCCCACAAATAGGTACAAGTCTGTGTTAAAATAAAATAAAAAATTTAGTTAAAAAAATGTATAAGGAAGTT